GAGATCGCTTCGATTTGAATTTAAGTTAGAGAAAATTTCACAGGATTTCAAATAAACAAGAAAGTAACTTTTTTTGTAAAGGTGGTTTCACTGCAGTGAAGGAATGTTGTAATGCAGTTACACCTTTCCAGGGGGAACAGCACTACCGCAAAGCCCCACTTCGAAGTTAAGGGAACATATTACTACCACAGAAATTAATCATTTAAAAACAATTATGCATATCATTTATGATACGTGATATATACTATTTGAATTCGATTCGAGATTATTCAAGCAAATCAATATTCGCTTCGATTCTGCCTAAAACCTAAAATTTATTATTCACACAAGCCTAGTCATCGCGTGTTGAAGCTCTTTGATGACGCGTTCGCATCGCAAAACTCCTAAAATTTTAGTTATTTTTATTTTACTGAATGTTTTGTTGTCGTGCACGTTTAGTTGATGCACGAAGGCTAACCTTCACTGCAATTGGTGAGGAGGGTCAAGGACTGCGTTAAGTTAGCGTAGTGCCGTTGTCGCCACCGAAAGATGGCGCCGCGTGCACACTTATGACTTAGAGGATTTATCAGCTGTTTCCGTTCGCCATCTGAACGTGAGGACGAGAGTTGTTTAAGATGTCGATGCGCAATGGGTCCAATGTAGCCTTTACAGAAATTTCGGTAGGCTGATTTTGAATTTGTTAGAACGAAGGTGGACCTTGGGTTTTGTAGAGCGAGGGCGATTGCTGCTTCTTCCTTACTAGTTGTGTCTGTGGCCCATGCCTCGGCCCGACAATTACTCTTCCAGACATCCGACCCCGGCATATCGCACCCACACTCGATTATGCTTATGGACCCGCTCCTAACGTACACATATGTTCTAGAACATCAAAGACTCGAAAGACGGAAGCTTCCGCCCCCGGGGCCAAAGCTCAGTAAATAATCTCAGGTAGCGTGGAGTCGCCTGCAGGCCTTGTCTTACCTCAACCCATACATACTGTCCAAGATAGATCCCGACGCATACGCACCACAGCGCAGGTTCTGCGTCACTAAAACAGGCACCCTGTACCACATGGTATGGGAATGCCCACACAATCCACCTCAACAACCCAGAGCACAGCACAGCACTGTAGGGTGGGAGGCAGCTCTGTCCAGCTCGGATCCGAAGACCCAAGAGGCCCATTGTGAGACGAGCGAGGACAGCGGCCCGTGCCAATGGGATCCCGGACTAAGGAACCCACTAACCGACATTCCTTCCTCGGTTGCAAATAAATGTTTTATTCTCTCTCTTAGAGGATTTATTCGATGACAGCGATGGAAAATAGCCTGAATGAATTACCAGCCTACAGGAGGCCTTGAGTTTTAAGGATAACCATGGAAAGCTGAACACATTCGCGATAGAAGCAAGTAAGATACGGTTAGGGTATTGGTGGCAGAGAAGAAGGGATAAAATACAAAAATAGTCGGGAAAGATGAGGTCATTCTGCCTGGAGAGGCAGAGAGATAGACCATGAATTTATAATTGTCTTTGTTATAATAATATCAGTTTAACCGAAGTAGGTAAGGCATTAGGCCAACATGAAAAAAATAAGGTTTTGGTATTTTTATTTCGAGCTTGGTGGCACACATGTCACCACCCCGTTATGAAGGGAATGCTCATAGCATTTATCCATCCATCCGTCCGACTTCCACAAGCCCGCTTTTAGCTTCAGGTTTCGAACATTAAGCATCTGCACAAATGGGGAAATGGAGTCGTCAAGAACACTTTCCATTCGCACTCCCATTTGGTTTCAATTGGTTTTATTCACCACTCCGCCAACTCACCTCTTTCTTTTTTTTTTAATCCTGCAAACTTACCGAACCGTGAAGCAGGCCCGTTTAGTAAGAATTTTCGCTTGTAGAGGTGCCTCACTTTCCAAATATTATGGATAATTAAAAAAGGCACGTCTTTGCACTCTTTAGCGGTAAAACCACCCCCTTCCAGTCAAAGTTTCAGGGGAGGTGGTCTAGGGCACTTCCTCCTCTTGGCTGTGAGCCTGAATGGATGTCTTCTGACGTCGCTTCGCCACCAAGGAGAGACGAAGAAAGGTACACAGGAGACATGGCTTACGTCACATTTTTTTTCTTTCTTTCACGCTTTTTCCAACATTCTCTGCGCACACAAACACGCACAACATCAAAGGGACCACCGCTTCACGCACGGTGAAAGCGGCACCGGACCAATTCAGAGTTCGGTGAGCATTAAATGTGCGTTGGTATGCGTTGCGACCAACGCTTCATACAGCGCGGTGATGGAGTCTTTCGTGGATGCACCGCCATAAGTTGCACACACAACGACGCGTCAGTTCACCGGTTCGTCGTCTCGGCATACTGTGATCTTTTTCGTTTGGATGTGTCCTCCCTCTGCCACAGGTCGTCGGGCATTACTCCGATGTCTTCAGCTACGCGATATAGACGTTGCTTTGCCCGAAAGCTGACACGCATTATATATGCAAAACGAAGACTTGCGTACCGAACTATGGCACGGAAAAGAGGTCGTTAGAAACGCCACCGCACGAAATGAAAGGTCTTCCTTAAGTACAGATAAGCATAGGCGTGCCCACGGGAGGGTAGGGGGCGACCGGATGACCATTTAAGAAGGAAGGGGGTGCGAAATGTGGCCCATACATTGATTAAAGAGGGGGGGGGGGGCGCTGCAATGAACCTTGCCTCCCCCACGCCTGTGCAGACTCACTCCTGAAGTGGCAGAAGACACAGACTGCAACACACGTCAAAAGTGTTTTCTCCTTTAAATATTTTACATCGTTTTATATATGTCTCGTCAGGGACCACGACCCATTTAGCGACCTAAGGATCTGACAAACTTTGGCGCTCTCTCCACTGTTGAGCTTGCCGCATGTCTCACGTATTGTCGAGAAACTGCGTACAATCCCCGGGTCACACTGAGTTAACCGTCTGACCGCAGCTTTCAGGCATGCTCGCTCGTGGACGAATGAGTTATTTGCGGTGTTGCCTGTAGTCTGCGCCGCCATTAACGATCTTTATGCGCGCAAACCTCGACAGTAGCATGAGACTCATCGCTAAGAAAAAAAAAATGACTGGTAGAACCCCTGAATGTTCCTTTTTGGGGTTCTACCGTAAGCTTTTAGCCTGAAGTATAACGTTCACACAAAACAAAGGCTGAGCAGTCAGTCAGTACAGGAACGAAGTTTTGGCTCTGCATAATTGGTGTTGCACGCAGCGCTCTTTTCCGGTGCGCGGACTCCTCACCATGCGTACCGAGGTGGATTAAGTTTACGTTTTTGTTACGTAAAACGATATAACTATTTCTGTTCATTCGAAAGGAAATGCGCTACTTCGTGGATCACCGTCTTGGCCGACGAACCGCGCGCACCCTAAGCATTTCAATGCACAGCAGCACTCTTTCCTTGGGAGCTATATGTGTGCTCGCGTGTGTGTGTTTGTTTGTGTGGAAAAACTGCACGAAAATTCTAACGGGGCAGATTTCTGAGCATAAATGAAATATTCCGGCATTTCCGAAGTTCTACAGCTCGTATTGAAGTTCTGAAGGCTGCTGTAATTATTATTAAAGTTAAGTAAAATTGCTAATTATCCAGTTTGACGCAATGACAAAAGATGGCTGGTCGTGCTGCATACGGCTCAGAACAATACTATAGGCCAACTGGATACTCGTAGCACATGCGTTTGCTTTTAAATATTTAGGTGCAAATTTAGGCTGAAAGAATGATCTAGACAAACTTATGGAGATTTCAGCTTGCGCGCGTCGACACGTCTGGCACTGGAAGCCATGACACTCGTCTTGCCCGAGAGCGAAATAAATATTTCTTTTCTAGATATCCTCACTGCGTGACAATAGTTTAGCTTATTGTTTTTTTCTTGCTCTGTTATGACGTATCGGCGGCCATCCTAGTAGTCCGCCCTTCTCCCCGAAGTTCATGATCTGAGCGGGTTCATCCATCAGCCTTCGTCGAGTAAGAACAACGTTTCTCGCTAATTGAAAGGCCCCGCGTCTTCGCCGCCGCTGCAGTGGCTAATGGTGCGAGCCGCCTGGCATACCCTCGGGACGTCCCGTCAGCGGCCAGCGGGACTGCACCGCGAGGAGGAGCCACGTTTTCGCCCCAGTGAAGCCTGTTTGCCTTTACGCGGTGATGCTTTGCAATGCGCCATTATATTCGGCGAAACAGCGCAGTAACGATCGTGGCTCGGTCGTCGTCTCTCGGGAACAGAAATAGCAGGCGGGTATCGGGAGGTGTAACACAACAGCGGGATAAAGAGCGACCCGAAAGAGACGCGGAATAAGTGCAGAGTCGCGTACTGTCGCCACCTGCGCTTATACTATATCAGAAGTGGTGGTCGTCGAGCGGTCCACGCTACATAGGGTGCGCACGGGGAGGGGTTCTCGCATCGGAAACAAAAGCAGCGGGCCGGCGGCCAAGTGAAGCGCGACCGCTGTCGGATGGACCCTCTCTAGCGCACGGCCAAGCCTGGGGGGTCGTCTGTCATCGTTAGGCCTAACGCGATTTGGGGCACGCCGCGGATGGACTGCTGCTAGATGCGCGCCGCTTTGCCGCGCGCGAGTAGTGCTGGCGGAGAAGCCTCGTCTTCGTCGTCGTTGCCGTGGGTGAGTGCGGCTGGCCACACGGACCGCTCTGCGGCGGCGCCTAATCCAATCAGCGCTGCGGCCTCCACCAAATCGTCGTCGGGATGTAGAGTCTCCCTTTTCAGTACCCCTCTCTCTCTCGTTTTCGAGACCAAGGGAAAGAGAAAGGTGTCCGGCGTTTTCTTTCGCTGGGGTGGCGAGGAGGGGAGGCACTAGCCATTGTTTCCGCGCACACTTCGTCGAAGAAGAGATCGCCTCTCCCGATAAAGGGAGAGGCCTCCGTTGTCAGTCAGGGGTGTCGTCGCCTCGCCCGGTCGTGGCGCTAATTCAATTGGCGCCCTGACTCATGGCGCCAGGTGAGGCGCCGCTTTTCTCCCCCGGGGAGGGACAGGTGAGCGCAGTCACGCGAACAGGGCGTCGATGGAGTGCTGCAGTCGGGCGCTGTGCTCGCGCGCCCGCAGTCGCAGCGCCGCGATGCTGTGCGTCCGCAGGTCCTGGCTCACGGCACCGCCGGACGCGGTCGCTGTGCCTGCAAACACCGAGACGAATGGTGCCGCTTGTGAGATCATACGCAATTGTTTTTTTTTTCTCTCCAAAGCGTAACACGAATGCACTAGAGTGGTGGAAGAAGAAAAGGAAATCAATAAATTAGATCGTATGAACAGCATTTCGTTATATTAACGCAAGGAACGAAGAGTAGCCGGGAAATAAATGAACCTAAAGGTATATTGACACAATTCTGAGACTTCGCAAATGGAGCATTTTTCGTCTGCTTGGCATGCAAGTGTTAACACTCTTCCACACGCCGGAGTCAGCCGAAGCGTATAAAGTATTTTATTTGATTTCAAAGTTTTTGTCGCTGAGCATCGGCAAGCCAGCCGCGTCCGCAATGGGTATTATTACAATGATTCAACACAGTTTCACCCAGCCTAATTCTTAGAAATTGCGGCCGGGGTTGTTGAAGACAATGTACTCATCGTTGTTTACGTGCACCACTAGCAGATGGCATATCTGCCGCTAGTACGTCGCGAGTTGCTGTCTCCTCATGACGGCACACTGCTATGACTCGTCACGGACCCCTCGATCCGAAAGTGTCTTTTTGGGGTAGCGGCACCGCTACCTCCAAAAAAGCGCATTTTTAATGCGAATTGAAAATAAAGTGCGATGCGTGTTGGCGTTTAGTGCAGTGATCCCAAAATATTTCGCATTCGTGTCAGCACTACTTCAAGAAAGATGTAGAAAGCAAAAACGAGCCTGGTGTAAATGATCTTTCAAGTCATCGTTTTGGTGCCACACTGTCACGTTCTTGGTCATTAAAATCATTTACTGATTATCTGAAAGCGCTGTATTGCACCACTATGTGCTTGTCCTATCGCAATAGGGGTTACGAAACCATCACTGAGCATGCAAGTCAATTTGATGCATACATGAGGTACGCGGAGGAAAACGGCGACTAGAGAGAAAATGTTCCAGTTAGTCCGGAATGCACTCTATTTTAGTTGTCCGCAACCATTCATCGTATTGCTTTATGAAACCCACACTTGGTTACAGGATCCTGTTAAATGAGCCCGACTCTACCGACTTATAATAGAAGAGCCTCGCTATTAGCGAATGACACTTCGTGAATAGTGAGCCGCGAAAATTCTTAAAATCCGTCAAGGATGGGTGGAGTTCCATGAATTCTAAGCGTGTCATGTCTGCACTTAATCTGGGACAGTTTCACAAGCTTAGCGAGCGTACATGTGGCAGGCGTTTCTATCTTGCTTATCTTGCAAGCCAAGTTATTTAAAAAGAGCGACAGACAACGTGATGAGTGCACTGAGTTACCGCGTTGTTGCAGCGTTGAAAAACCAAATGTTTGCGGTAAAGTAGGGAGATGCATTTGTGCTTGCCGGTGAGTCTATGTCATTAAGATCGTTAGCTAAGTGATCGAAATTCCAACACCAGTTCAGAGTAGCATACCGGATATTACCTTCTGGTTAGCCTTCCTGTCTCCCTCTTTTCGTTTTTTTTTTCATCTCTCTGTTCATTGCCATCCACAGGTTTGATAAGTTCACGCAATTTGCCCATTTACAATCAGTGTTACAAAACTTCGCATGACTCTCTAACGCATTGCTATCACAATCAGTGATTTGTCGATCTTTCGGCGGAACTGCAGCGCCTTCAATTCCAGCAATACACAGAAAGTAGCAAGCCACACACACGTGGTAAATCTTTCTCTCAATCGAACAGAAGGCATGTTCGTCACCTGCCGGCGAGAGAGCGGACGCCGGAGGAGGACTGGGTCTTGTCGACGTCGCCAAAACGGCAGCAGCGGAGGTCGGCGGAGGAGGAGGGGAGGAAGGCGCCGACGACGGCGGAGTGGACGCCTGTGGACTGGCCGTGTCGGGCCTTCCGGTCAGCGCCTTGGTCGACGCCGGCGGAGGAGGTGAGGATGGCGCCGTGCTGTCGCTGCCGCCACAATCCTGTCCCTTGAGCTTCTCGGCCGCTTCGAGAGACTTGCGGTGCATGCCTGCGTCAAGGAGGCGGCAGCACGAGGCTAGGCTCCGTCAGCGCCGCAGTCTATCTATCTATCTATCTATCTATCTATCTATCTATCTATCTATCTATCTATCTATCTATCTATCTATCTATCTATCTATCTATCTATTCTCATCTATCTATATCTATCTATCTATCTATCTATCTATCTATCTATCTATCTATCTATCTATCTATCTATCTATCTATCTATCTATCTATCTATCTATCTATCTATCTATCTATCTATCTATCTATCTATCTATCTATCTATCTATCTACTATCTATCTATCTATCTATGCATGACGGGTATATAGAAGCAGTAAGCAATCAACATCACTCCTCGTATTCAGTGCAAGCTTAGTTAACACTCACGCTGGTACATCCTTACAATTACGAAACGCATACTGTGCGGCCATTCTAATTGATAATTGAAACAATTTCTGCACTTTTCTCCGGCAGGGTTTCTTCTCCACGTTATAGGTAATGTTGAGGAGAAGCTGAACTACAAAAAATGCTGCCGTACTGAGAAGCCAACGGCACCTCACTATAAACTGCTCAGCGCAAAAAGAGAGAGAGAGAGAGGTTCAATAATGTTATGTTCTTTATGACGGAAATGCGTGTTGCGAAACCCACTAATTTGGGAACTTCATCTACGTAGTGCGAATTTCTCATCCGCATTAGAGAAAGCTTATTGTAGAATGTCGTAGCTTCAAGCTCATTTGCGATGACGACCCAGTGTGGTGTACGTACTACCTACTCTTACTTTCTTGTTACCTTGGTGATTTCTTTCTGATACAAAATAAGGAAAACTCTACGTGGTATGTTCGACTTATTCAAGAACGAAGTAGCAACGCCACATTTCTGCGCAAGCGTCTTTTTCTATCCTATCAATAAAAAGGAACGAACATTAGCATTTTTGCGCTTTGATGGGCGTGAGAACGATGTTTGATTGTTTCATGGCTAACGCGCTCACGTTGGATAGGGGCAAGAGCGAATCGCAGGTAAAAAGAAATGCAAGTCAATTGTCATTGCAATTAAAAATTGACGGCTACCGCAAATGAGGAGAAAAGTATAATGTGTCTTAGATTCCGCGGCCTACTAATTACTGTATGGCCAGCATACCAGTGGAGATAGTATGGTATAGTATAGGAAGTAGGCATGTGACGCATACCGAGCAGCCAGGGCGCGCACGAGGAGACGTCGTCGCCGCTCTCCTTGGCGCTTCGCAGGATAGACTCCGGCAGAGGCAGCGAGTGGCGCACCATGGCGCCGTACAGCCCGTACTCGGCCATGATGGTCGACTTGCCCCAGCACTTCTCCGTTTTGCGCCACTTGGCACGCCGGTTCTGGAACCACACCTGCGCTTACACTCACCTGCAGGTCAGTCACGGCGTATGCTTGCTGCTCTGTCGTATATGGGACCATGATCAAGCGCGGCGTTCTCATTTGGGATATTTATTTGTATGTATGGACATTCTGCCGCTTACGTTTTTTTTGTGGGGGGGAATAAGAGGGGGGGTAAGTTACCGGAGGAGTACACGTGATGGGAAACACTGGTTGCTAAACCTGATGATGCGAAGCATAACCAGAAACGCGCAAAGTTGATATTGTAGTGACTTCCTGAAGCTTATTTATTTATTTATTTATTTATTTATTTATTTATTTATTTATTTATTTATTTATTTATTTATTTATTTATTTACAACATACTTGCAGGCCGACATGGGCACGGGCAGGAGGGGTGAAATTAAAATATAAAACACAGAATTTGAAAAGTTGAGAACTGAAAAAATAAACACTTCCATTTCAATTTCAATGTTGGGATATCAGAAACTAATCAGGTCAGTCAACTCAAGTGAAATAATAAATAATAATGGCAGTGCGCTCCATTAATTAATGGTGAGTTGCGTAAACCCATTTTCTTGCACATGCAATGAGAATCGCCTAACTTGAACTCAATATTTAACTTACGAGCTCTACTTAACGACCTCTGTTAAGTGCTGCCAGACCGAAAATTACTAAGCCCCAGTACTTTCGTAATGTTGCTCGGACGAGAACTATGACGGGACTGGAAAATTTCGCAAAGCTATTGCAGTTGAACAAAACGACAAAAACACATCGCAATTATCTCTGCGAGCGCCATCAACCGCTCTGGTAAAGCTGTAAAGGTCCACACACCTACGTGAAACTAAAGTTCTCTATTGACTGGCCTTCGTCTCGCTTCCGTGTCGCAAAACAGAAATTATAGCCTTGTGCTGTGCGATTCTATATAGAGCACTGATTCATCAGAAGGCGCACACACACAAAAAATGTGGTGGACGAGTCGGTTTTTAGCTTCCATATTTACGGCGCGAGACGACACTACAAAGGATAAGTCAGAGAAGAAAACTGCACTGAAGCCTACGAATCTATCTTCACAGATTGCCATGTCATGAGTGGACATCATGGTGCCCTAACAAGAGATATACAGGAGGCACGCGTGATTGCGTGTTTGCGGGACTTGTGTATATGGGCATCCGGAGTAGCACTATGCCAAATGTAAATCAAGTATAGCTGGATCCTGAAATTTGACGTGTCTGCTTTTCTGCCGGCAACGTTGCCGAGCCCATGGCCCCACCCAGGGCGGAACGTAGAATGAATTAGGCGCACTGATTAGGTGGTAGGCACGCGATCGTATGGTGACGTGTCAAGAAATTACGCAACATTGTAAACTTTCCAGACTTCACAATTCCTTCGGGCATGAAGCAAACGACGTGAGCTCGGTTGGAGGCAACTCCAGATGGGCTCCTTGCCAACAGAATGTATCCCACTGCACTTGCACCTGAGCGCTATAGCTGTGCCCCTGGCCGACCTCTTCCACATGCTTTGGGACTGTCCCTGTGTACGTATACACATGGTAGTCTGCAGGGCTTGCAAATTACCACGGCGCAGCAGTGGGACGCCACGCTGATGACCCTGACTAGCAGGTCGAGGACACGAGGCGGGTAAGGGTCGCTTGGCCGCCTTCCCCAATCGAGGACGCCGTATTTTCAACACCAGTTTCTTGCTCACGGTCCGTCCAAGCACGTTTTTTGCACGTTTTCTTCTGGGTTTGTTTTTTTTGTCACCGTGTAGCGGGTATAGAAAGCTTGCTGGCTCCAATAAAATTTTAGTTGTCAATCATACTCTCTATGTCTTGCGATCTTTTTAAGGTGAGAGCTTTAGGTGCCTCATAAAACAGGAACCTTGACTGTCATCGGCGTCGCCGTTAACGCGAGGGATGCGAAAAGAAAAACAATCGCTCGACGGCGTCCTTGTGTGACGTCATCATGACGTCACACGTCTCCGTAATTTCTGACATCACCATGACGTTACTGTAACGAATCATAACGTGCCGCCACATCGTGACGTTCTATAATATATTGCTCTGTGTTTCAGTCAAAGGTGGGAAGCTAGATCATGGCAGCAGCGTGAAACCAGGCGAGAGAGTGGGATGCTTGCAGTCGCTGTCATCGAGGAGGTGGCGGGAAAACGCGCTAGGTGCAGAAATATCTCACAGGTGGGGGGGATCAATACTTCGATTGCAAATAAAAGGAAAAAAAAAGAGAAGGGCTTCCGAGTCGTCTTATAGGCGAAATCATAAGAAACTTAGTGAAACTTCGCTTGTGCATATTTTTTCTGGGTACAAGCAGAGTCCTTCAATGCTTTGAACGGTATTAAGGGACTGTGGTACAAGTAACAGCGCAAACGCACAGGATGCTCCACGTAGAAAGAATGTGTCGCCTTTTTTTTTTATGTGGGGCGCCTTGTGTGTTTGCGCAGTTACTTTGAGTGTGCGCGCGTGTGCTGCTGAATGTGCTGTTTCTATCTTCCCTCTCCGCTCTCTTTCATCTCCCCCATCCCTCTCCCATGCGCAGGGTAGCAAACCGGCTGCCTATAGGCTGGTTAACCTCCTTGCCTTTCTTTTCCCTCTATTTTTCTTCCTTCCTACTTTTACTTCAGTCATGAGAGACCCCGTGAGTTTTTCATTGTGGCGTGGTCTCGCGGCGTAAATATGGAAGTCAGCCACGGTTAGTTAAAAACATTTCCTTCCTTTCCTTGGTTGCTCGTCGTTGCCGTAGAACGAGGCCCCCTCCCCCTTCGGTGTGTTGAAGCGCATAAACAACGGCGCGAAGCGAGCACCGACACAGCGAGGAGCGACGCCCAATTAGGCTAATGGGGCGGCTCGTTAGTGCCTCGCTCGCAGGATTCGGTTACGCCCTCCTCCGCGCTTCGAGAGCGCCGCCAACTGTAATGAGGATAGTGTTTCCAGCCACGAGGCACGTTTCTTTTTTGGAAACCCAGACTTCGAAGAGAGCGCTCGCCGCTTTCCTCGGGTAAGCGAGGCAAACTATACAGTAAGCGAAGCGTAAACAGGTCTCATCCGTGTGCCCTAAAATGAGAAAAAGAAAAAAGAAGTATAAAAGCGTTTAGGAAGAAGGAACCGCTGTTTTAGGTTTCAACGTTCTATCTCCAGACAGCCGACATACTCACCAAGCAGAATTTGAAAAAGATATATATATATATATATATATATATATATATATATATATATATAAATGTGTGTGTGTACTTTATTGCATGTTAACAGAACTTTTACAACCCTTGCGTACGGTAGATTTGCATGCAAGGTAGTCGTGCCTTCAGTTTTCTTTTTCAATTTTTTTATTTGTATTTCACTTTGACAAAACTGGTAAAATAATGCTGTGGCTTCGTCATGGATTGTACAAAGCGCGAGATAACAGCCCCGAATAGCCATTATGTTCCTCCAAACGACTTCGACACCACCTTGAGGGCCGGCATTCGTCTATACGGTCACCAATATTGAAGCCATGGCTATGCATAGGGACCGAGCGCGCAGCATTAGTAAAAGTAAACAACCATTTAGTGTCACATTGAAATTAAGCATATGATGGGCTTCAGCGTGTGCTTGAGCCAAAGAAGTATATTATTGCGGCAAAGCAGTCATTTGGGCTACTTTACATGGCAGAGGTTCATTAAGAAAGATAGAAGTGGGGCGCAGTACTTTCAGTAAACTTTCAGTTGCGAGTGTGCGCTTTTGTTGCTCTCCTCCAACCCCTGTTGCGTACTTCGCCTCACTTCTGTCTTTCATAATGAAACATAATAATAATATATATTGATAACATTATTGTTGCAAGAAATGCGTGCAGCGTGACGACCGACTAACTTCGTTCGTTGTGGATTCGCATCTATAGATACGGGTCGCCATTCACGCACACACACACACAAACAAAATGGCATGAGCAAATGTACATTCAGTACGCATAGCCTTATATGAAGCGCGACGCAAGCGGTTTTTTCGATATGTCGGAAAGAAAGCAACATGTTTAGAGCTCTATACAGCCCCATTCTTTCTCAAATTATTGGATAGCTATAACGCGTGCGCCTCGTTCAGAGTTGCATATAGCTACAGAGAACATTTCACATGAGCACAAGTTTGTTTGCGGCGTCATTTTATATTGTTGATCGTGTTGCCCCTTGCTGCGGGAATTTTTATGGTTGTCATGGTGTGCATTTCGGACTGCCATCAGAACGAAACGCTCTGACGATTTACTTCGTTATATGCAGTTCGCTGTAAAGGCGTCAATCGTGATCCAAAAAGTATACGATCACGATAGGGCTCGATCGCGACAGTAAATGCACCGTGCGCTAGCTTGCCGTATTATATCGCGCTTTTGAATCTATGCTACAGGGGTAGAAGGGCTTCTGGAGTTTAGATGACATGTTATGAAGCGCAAAAAAAAAACAGATGGGAACAAGGCACATAGATACACACAGTGCACTAGTTCTCCAGAGAGTGTCGCTGCTTCGATAGTCCCCGCAATTTTTTTTTTTTTTAAGAAGGGACTGATCACCACTAAGTTGCATAGCTGAGTTGGCCATCTTATTTTTCAGGTAAGATATCATGCAGCGTCCAGCATCGAGAACTTTATTGATAAGCAGCATGACACTTCGCTGCTTCTGTTTTAGAAGGTTAATCGATGCTTAATGCCCGTTTACTTAGATTTAGGGGCACGTAAACAGCCCCATGTTGGTGGTTGAAATTTCAGAGACACGGCTTACTTCGTAATCATATAAGGGTTTTGGGACGTTGAACTCCAAAAGTATAGAAGATAATTTGATGTTTGAAGCTGACCACGTTGTGCGCTAATATAAAACGTCACACTAAGAGAGCTCATTCTACAGGCATTCATATATGCATCAGCTGGAAATGACAATGAAGAAATATCAGGTGACAGCGATATCGCGCGCTTGCAAAGCAGTGTCTCGCTGAAAGGGAAATTCACGCTTGGCTCGCGCTGGGGCATGTTGCCGATAACTTTGAACTGCACATGTTCACATTTTGTAATAGGTGTCCGCACATGTGAAGTGAGAGCAACACAACACGAGAAAAAGCGCGCTTAGCATTCTAGACGTGCAGCCTGTTCGGCTTAATTGTGTCTGTCACACATGGGAGCGCCGTGAGGCAGTGAATTTTCAGGTATGTGTGTCCTCAGTCTTGGCGAACTCGAGTGATTGGCGTCGGAATTTGTCGCTGATTGGACGGGCGCTGCAGCCACGCCATGGCCCGATTAGAGGATTCTTCGCGACTGTTCTCGTTTCGCTGCCGGCGGGATGTCGAGCGGCGTCTGCAGCTCCGCGCGAGCGGAGTGCATGATGGCCGCGGCGCAAACTTAATTTGAAGCGACGTTTTGGGGCGCTAATCGAGTGAGCGGCAATTCAATTAGCGCGCGTTGACGGCGCCATCGCACGCCGAGCGAGTGAGTCAAGCGGAGGGGGCTGGTGGCGGCCAGAAAGATCGCGGCTTTTGATCGTGGCGGAGATAGACGGACACGCGAACGGAACAATGGGTCCCTTTTAAACAACGCGAATAAGAAGAGGATGATGTACGAGAGGCATTATTGAGTCGCCCCGAATGGTTGCCACCACTCTGCATCACATCACTCAAGCAAGCTTTCATGTACTTTTTGGTCGGCGAACTCGTAAAGTTCATATAATTAGTGTTCATTACAGCATGACCGAGCTTGATTTTTTTTTAATGCGAAAGCCTACAATGCCTCCTCAAACCCAAAAATTCACCGTCGTTGTCCCGAGGCGTCGGCGTCAGGAAATCACTAAAGAAAATCATGATCACGTGATCACATCAGGATAACATCATAGATCGCCAGCTTGTGTGACCACAAGCACGGCGCACGATGACGTCATCACACGAAAACGTCGCCTGGTCAAAGGTGGCGCCGATCACGGGTGCTGTGCAAAACCGTATGAGGTGCGGAAAGCTTGCAATGCCTCCTATTCTGGAGGCAATGCGTAACCACATAGATGCAGTAGGCTCTCGGAGGGAGGTTGGAGAGGATGAATATATTGTCTGAGAAGAAAACGAAGATGGGTTCGGCTTTCACCGTTGAGTCGTTCTGACGAATGCGTAAGTGAGGCACGCCGTAAGTTGTTTTTTTAACACAAAAGCACTTATACCGGGGTCCACCGAGATTTCAGTGACGTACTTACGTCAGGCAAATGACGTTAAAAATAACTTTCAGAAGGCAAACAAAGAAGTTTTGTTAACGGGGATCGAAACTACGACTTCTAGGTCGGCGACAGCAGCTGCTGGTTGCGCTATTCATGTGCCGTGGTCACATATTTTGCATGCATTAAAGAGACGCTTTATATATCTGCCACTGCACTTTCACAGTTCTATACGTAAATTGCAACAATGCATAATGACCGTGGAATCCAGGATTAGTTCCTTCAATGCATCGTTTCCACGTCTCCGTCCTATTCGGTGCCTTTCCAGTAGAAGTGAAATTTTGACAACGCCTTAACACACCGGTAGGTGGTGACCTTAGCCGAAACGTCGGCGTGGCTCATAGCATCCACCTGTACCTACGATAGTCTTGAAACGCATAGAGCCACGCGCTTGCTTCGCCTAAAAGTAGCTTCGTGTTCCCAGCTTAAGCTCGAGCTCGCCACGCGGAAAATCGTGGCTGCCCAAGGACACAATACTCGTCGCGTTTACCTCTATTATGGAGGAGGGACCTCTGCGTCGTGAAAGTGAGGCTTTAACCACAGAGCCACCCCGGAGCACTCTATTACTCTATTACGGAGGTTAGTCATCGAGACGGAGATTAAGCATCAACGTAGATGTACTTAAGGAAAACGGGGCTTAAATTCAGCTGTCAAACACCAACAGACATTGTGTAAGCTCTCTTATATCAATGTACAGTAAGCACTCTGTAAGAAGACGCTTTGCTGTTTTTTTATACCGATTCCTTACATGGAGGGATCAACCAGGTTTTTTTTTTTGTTGTTGTTGTGCAAGTACACGCAAGTGATTGTTACGTTCACGTTCGTTGCTTACTTAACCGTATACGTTGAATTGCAATGATGCCTCGCGCGTGCTTCGTCGATATGGACGTTTTTCTGCAGCTAGTTTTCTAAGCAGAACTAGATGGCGCCAACGCACCGATAGGCACCATGGCCTGCTCCTCTGCGGCGCGGCCACGATGTGGCGTGTGGCGGGACGATGTGCCTGCAGCCTATAGGCGAGAAACGGATGGTGCGGGCGAGCGTACGTATAGCAAGAAAATTTGTCTCCTTAGCACTTTACTGAGCCCGATGTGCTGCCAGGCGACGATATTTGAGTGTGAAACACCGGCGCTCACCGCACTGTCTGCCATGTCAATACCTAACCGCTGCGCCCGGTGTGCTGGCCTTCGAACCATTCAATCACAGTGTTCATACGTGGCACCACCCGTTCGCCGCGTTGCGGAAAACGGTCTATATATTTACGACAACCCCAAGGTGTCAATGTTGCGTTGTGGGCAGCGCAAAAGTCTGCAGATTGAATTCTTCGTGGTGCTTCTCAAATAAACGAACGCCAGTCAGTCGGAAATTAGACAGTGTTGGCTGTCTTATAACCGAATATCAGTTTGGGAAGCAAGATGATGATGATATGTGGGGTTTACCGTCCCAAAAACACCATATGTATATGAGAGACGCCGTAGTGTAGGACTTCGGTAATTATGGCCGCCTGGTGCTCTTTAACGTGCATTGAAATCGGAGCACACGGGCCTACAGCGTTTTTGCCTCCATCGAAAATGTAGCCACCGGCACCGGGATTTGATACCGTGACCTGCGGGCCTGCAGACGAGTACCTTAGCCACTAGGCCAGCGCGGTGGGGAAGTTTGGGAAGCAAAAGACTACCAATATTGCCACATTATATCCTCAAGCTTTGTTATCGCGCCGTTTTACTACCAGTGATTTTCAGCGCAAACCCCACCTGCAGTGCTCGAGAAGCTTCAGGACTGCATTATATCATTTTGTTAAGATTACGCCCACTTCGCGAACATTACAGATTATTTTGGAACCTGTACGTCGCCGCTAACGGTGACGCTAGAATATTCGATGGCACGTGTATAAATGCCGACGCGCTTCACCACTTGTCAGCTGATCGACAGCCGACGCTCTGTTCGCCGCTCTGAATGCCCGTGTACTGCTGTAATCTGACCTCCAGTTTCCTTGCTGCCGCGGTGTTCTAGTGGCTAAAGTACTCGGCTACTGACTCGCAGGCCGCGGGATCGAATCCCAGCTGCGGCGGCTGCATTTCCGATGGAGGCGGAAATTTCGTATAGGCCCAGGCGGTCGGAATTTCTGGAGCCCTCCACTACGGCATCTCTCATAATGATATGGTGGTTTTGGGAGGCTAATCCCCCACATATCAATCAATCAATCAATCAATCAATCAATCAATCAATCAATCAATCAATCAATCAATCAATCAATCAATCAATGACCTTCCGTTTCCTGTCGACTATAGTTGGACCGAATAAACAGTTTCATCTGAGCATCGAGTCTGCTCCCTTCGTCCACGTCACGACCCTGTTACAATATTATACTCTTTGCATACTTACTGCGCGTAAGTTCAAATGAGGTCAGAAGTTCAAATGAGGTCAGAAATTTGTTACTTTTAGGAAACAATCGGTCTTCACGTGTCAGTAGCAGGTTTCGGCTGATTTGTGGTTTTGTGGTTACTGGTTTCAGACGACGAAATTAAAAAAAAGATTGTCGCTAAAGGATTACGTACCAGGAAGAGAGAGACGTTGGGAAAGGCGTTCCAGTTCGATGGCCAGTGCACCGCAACAAGCGAATGATGCCAGCCGTTTGATGAATTGAAGTGTGCGCGGAATTAGTTTTCTAAATCAGGGAGAAAAGTTTTCGCTGTGTACCGGGACAGCTGAAAGCTCTCTCATAGTAAATCGTCGAACATTTGTTCTTCACACAACGCTTTTATAAAATTCTTTATTTTGACAGGGGCAGGCTTTTCAGCGTTCCGAGCACGATTGGAAGCAGAATGTCTCTCGCATCACTGCAGCGGACACTGTCATATAGCGTGCCGGATGCAAAGAAGCACCGCGTGTTTGCGGGCTCGTCTCAATGCTGCGTGCGAGAGCTATTGGTACGCGAGACGATGCGATAAGTATTTATTATTCTTCAGCGCTATATAATAAGCGAGTGCTTTCTGCGAGATTCGAAAGCGTTCACCTGTATGCGGTCCTCTGGCAGATCCGTCTTGAGCGACAGCATCTCTCGCGCGTACACGTCCGGGTAGTGGGCCTCCTTGAACGCCTTCTCCAGCTCCTCCAGCTGGAAGCTCGTGAAGATGGTCCTGCGGGCACAGACCGTGCGTATATACTACACGGTTTTGTGTGTAACGTCATGTGTGTACAGCCCACTGCCGTTACGTTTCCGTGTTGTCTACAGGCACGGTGGGTCCATTGTTTCCGAATTCCTGAAGAGCGGAACCCGTCACATGAGGGAGCTCGAGCCACACTTGACTCGAGCAGTATGCGACCACTGCCGGGTGACTCCGCTTTAGACTCTGGTTCTGGCCGTAGTGATTCTGGCAACATAATAGGAACCACAAAGCGGCACCCGTATGTTACTGCCCCCCCCCCCCTCCCAATGGCAGAGGCCAGCCGCTCACACCCGGAGCTGTTAAGTTACAAATAAACTCTCGTTTCCCCCTGACGTCCCCTCGAGCTCAGAATGGGTTTTTGGCAACGCATGACGTTCAGTGAATGTCGCCGCAACCAGCCGAAAAGTGCGGCTACTGCGAACGTGATTGCAGCGGCAATCCGATTTTTCCGCGATGCCGCGGCGCATACGCCCTTCTCTAGCGGAAAAGTCACGAAACAACTCCTGGTCTCGGAGGCCTTTGTTCTAGCAGTGCCATTTTTCTGGCCTATGCAAAAACCCTACCAAAGCGTTAGAGGGCAGCACAGGAAAATAGAAAAAGCGAATTCTTGGCGTTAGGGTCAGTTCTTGTGCGAGAGGTTACGTGATTGCCGGATACGTCTTTTTCGGACCTCAGCTGAGTGCGCGCCTTCACCAAACTAGCCAGGAATCGTTTTCGCTTTATTGACTGAGCACCTTTTCGAAAAAAAGATTGACTACCCGTTGACGGTGTGTGTGAACACATATAGGGGCAAATCCCGTGCATAACGGTCATTGCAAATACTCCTTCACGTAGCCACCCAGACAGGTTGCATGGCTATGCCAGTGCTGCGACTGCTCATGTAAAAATCAAATTGCCAAGGTGGTACCCACCGGTGCCTACGCTTCTTCTTCTTCTTCCTGGCAAGAGCGGATCCCTCGTCGCAGAGATCAGTGGCTGTTGCCCCTGGGTAGCCTGCATGAAATACGTTTTGCATACGTCAATACTTTGAGGGGGGAAACGGTAATACTGCACATTGGTAGTATATCACAGTAACAGTTTTACTCATGTATATTTGTTGAAAAAGTGTTTGCCGGTTCCATGACTAACTGCCTCATGTTAAATAAGTAAGACTGAATCGTATAGGTAAACACCAATACAGGTCTGTGCACCGTCTTTCGTTGCAAGTAAAAGTTATAATAGCTGCAACCAAGGACAATCAAAGTACAACAAATTTTTCAAGTTCCTGCTGCCCAATACTCGCATAAGAGTTTTCTAAGCGCAGAAAGTGGTCTATTTCTGCGTAGCTTGAATGGCTTGAGGCGGACTCCAGACAAATACCTACATCTAACCTAATTACGATACCCGTCCCAGTACCTATATAGGTACAAGTAAAAAAGGGGACTTATTCTACACGCATGTAGTTTTGCCTAGCTGAAGACTAAAGTGAAGACCCGCCGCGGTGGTCTAGTGGCTAAGATATTCAGCTGCTGACCCGCAGGTCGCAAGATTGAATCCCGGCTGCGGCGGCTGCATTTCCGATGGAGGCGAAAATGTTGTATGCCCGTGTGCTCAGATTTGGGTGGACGTTAAGAACCCCAGGCGGTCAAAATTTCCGGAGCCTTCCACTACGGTATATCTCATAATCATATGGTGGTTTTGGGACGTTGAAACCCACACATCAATCAATCAATCAGACCAAAGTGAATAAATCATACTGCGTTACCACTGAGAGGCCGCGCCACGCAGCACTGGCCTACAAGCAAGATATATAAAGGTGCTCACCTAACCTCGAATTCATTTATACTTTGGTTTAAGAAAAAAAGAAAGCTGAAGCAATGATTGCGATAGCAACAGATCGGACTGCTCTACGAAGTAATGTTAGAATATTTAGGAACCATGCGAAATGTAGTGAACACGGTTGAATTTGCGTTGAGCTCCAGTGTTTCTCGTGCGCGCAGCAGCACGCTCTTCGTCTGTCTGGGCACGTGTGCCTGTGCCCAACGTTCGTTGCCTTTGCCCGCCTTGCTCCAGTGCGACTAGCATCCCGTTGGAGCCTGTTCCCTGGGAGTTCGTACAACACGCGGTGGCATCACAAAGGCCGAGCTACATACAGCGTTTCCGCCGGCGTTTGTCCGGCGTTCCCTTCCTTGGCGTCAGTCGACGATACCGGTGATGGTAGCAAAAAGTACATTTCCTATGCACTTCACCAAAACGTCCTCCTCAGGTTGACCCAGCCAATGATTGCAGTGTGGGCGTCGATGCCGGAAGCAGCTGGGTGGTGGAAGAATCTTGCTTGTTTGCTTGTTCCTTGGTTTATGGCTTCCACACACGACGGGAGATCGACCATGAAACCGTTGGTTAATATAAAAAAATTAGTTTTGAAAAGGGATGAGGTAAAAACCGATCGCCACAAGAATAAACAAAAATGTTAAAATATTCAACACGCGGCTACGTGTTCATCGACAGTAAGCCAGTAGTAAATCGTGTACATATGTAGCTCGCCGTTAGTGAGATGAATAGCATAAGTGGCGTGGCCCATAATTGTTGGCGCGTCTCAGTTGTACCGGGGATTCGAACCAGCCGGGGATCCCAGGTGCGAATCCTTGGTAGGGTGCGTTGCAATTTTTCTTATGATTTATTTTTTGTCGTGTGCCATATATATATATATCCGGGGCATGACGAATATAGCCTGACTAGGGCCATTGCAGTGCAAAGGCCTTTCCCGTGTTTGTTCCACCAATCGACCTGGTCCTGCGCTTCCTGCTACCACGTTACACCTGCCAACTGTTTGGTCTCATTGGCCCCTAATTTTCTCCTTGATTCACGCCTTTGTCTTTTCTGAAAATCAAGGCAATTACCCTAAATGACCGCCGATTATCCTGCCTTACGTGCCCGGCCCATGGATGGAAGAACTTCATCTGTAGTCCTGAGAAACGCCACTAGAGCGCAGTGGGCCTGTCCATTTCTTTTTCTTGATTTCAGCTATGATATCCTTAACGCCCGTTTGTAACTTTACAATAGATTGTAATGCTGTGCAAAGTAAGGCTGGCAGCTAACTTTTCTCGATATGATCTCGCATAACTGCAGAAACGCTGGGTTGAGCGAATACGGCCGCTCCAGAGTAATTTTCGTGCCTTCAGTCCTCTAAACGGCAAGTAAACGCCGAGAACACATGCAAGCTTGCGAACCGTCTCCTGACATCTGTCGGCAGCGATCGCTGTTCTCGTGAGCAGAGTTCGCAGTTGCTGCTTGAGCAACGCCCTGTTTTCCCACTATATATACTCCTCTTCGCCCCTAATAAATGCCGGGGCGTTTACTCTCTGCTTGAGGAACCATCGACGGCAGGCCTCGCACGTGGGGTGGTGCTATCGCATGCGCCCTTCGTGCGACGGAGATGACCGGCTCGCTTCATCTCTGCTTCAGCCTTGTTCATCCCCAGCGCTTGGGTTCTCTGACACGAAGGCGCGATATTATCTGTACTTTATACGGAAGCCGACGGTGACAGCAACATCTCATCGAAAGTGCTCATGTGATCACTGTCGCAGATATAATGCTTCATTTTTTTTACCACTGTTATGTCGACGGAAGGACGAGTTCTAACTCAAAAACTGTTTATTCCACTAGCAGCTGCATCGGCGAGCATTCTGACGCTACCGCCGTGTAAGGTAGCGAAACATTAAGACTCTTTTATGCCGGACAGCTTGTATTTTGTAGACAGGACCGCGGTTATGATGCCATGGTGATGGCGTGGTGGTGCTTTATAGGAGACATAGTGCAGCGGGTAGCTGTGTCACTCAGGGTTAGTTGATGACGAGGTGTAGGATGCGCCGATTGGTGCTCAGTGTGTCGCCCCACTCACTCACTCACCCACCCACTCACTCACCCACCCACTCACTCACTCACCCACTCACTCCGTCTAATTACCATCTTTTTTGCCACTGGTGAAGGCGCCCTACATGCTATAGGCACGCATTGATATCTCGCGCTATACATTCTCGCGCGATGCTTTTTGCACAGATAGATGTCCTCCGCTTTTCCGCCTTTTCCGCCCCATATCGGTGCTGCTCGTCACCGACACTCGTATTTCGGCGGCCTGCCGTTCTTATATTTCGCCCGGGTTTGAACCCGAGCCTACCCAACCGCACCGTAGGCGTGCAACGCAACGCCCCCCTCCTCTCACGTGAAAGAAAGAATGAAACACGCGAAGAAGGGGTTGGTGAAAAGCGATCTCGTGCTCGAAAGGGCGGCACTCGACGCCCCCCTCGTCAACGAGCGTGTGCCCGCGGCGAGCCCCGAAGCTGTCTTTCCTCCGTGCAAGCGTCACGGGGCCCAGGCGATTTGTGCAGTGTGTGTGAACTATGCAAAGGTCATCTAAATTAATTATCACGTAAAGACATATCGTAGCAGTAAATACAATATAGTTGATAGTCAACTATATGGCCCCACCGTGGTGGTCTAGTGGCTAATGTATCTCGGCTGCTGACCCGCAGGTCGCGGGATCGTATATCCCGGCTGCGGCGGCTGCATTTCCGATGGAGGCGAAAATGCTGTAGGCCCGTGTGCTCAGATTTGGATTCACGTTAAAGAACCCTAGTTGGTCGAAGTTTCCGGAGCCCTACACCATACGGCGTCTCTCATAATCATACAGTGGTTTTGAGACGTTAAACCGCACATATCAAATCAATCAGTACAACAGACAACTGCTTTGAAGCTGAGTAGGTGAATAATCGTGCAATATTATTGAACGAATGTCTTACATATACAGTATCTGTGCAATTTTCTACAACGCATCAATGGCACGGTATTTTGCCGCCCGGAAAGAGCATAGCACACGGCGCTAAAATGTATGGATTTGAAACGAGTATACTCACTTCGCATTTCAAAAGTGCAGTGAGCTAGCGCTGAAGAAAGTCTTGTGTTGTGACGTCATTTCATTGATGCAGAAGTAAAATTGATTCATTGATTCATTTGTGGGCTTTAACGTCTCAAAACCATCATATGATTATGGGAGACGCCGTAGTGGCGGTCTCCGGAAATTTTGAACCCCTGGGTTCTTTAACATGCACCGAAACCCGATCACACGGGCCTATAGCATTTTCGCCTCCGGCAGTAGTAAAATTATTGTTTCATTTCGTAACGATGAGCGGAACATACCCTCAATGGCATAGATTTACATTTACGAGAACGGAAATCTGAGCAAGTTGAATGCATGTTGGGGCAGGTGTAGCGCACAATTACAGATACAAACCGACGAGCACTAACTTCAAACTAGATTTTATTCTCCGAATTCGTGCCTATTCACAAACCAGCAAAGATCAATACACCACATCGTCACCAAAGAAAGAACATCGCATTGCACTATAAATGTAATGACAGCCGCAACATCTTGATGGCCCTTACAACAGCAATAATACAGGCAAAAACAGCGCAGTTAAAACACGCTAAAATTGAAAGCAAGCGAACTAACCCACGCATGCTGAGACTCGAAACGACTTTCATGCGGAAATCGTATACGTGCCAAGTTAGCGGTGAGGAAAGCTAACTCTCAGAGGTTTAGGCTCAGGGATAGCTGGCTTTAATTGTAAGGACCGATCGAGATGTAGTGACCTCATGCCGAGGGATAAGTTGCTATTTCTTGGTGGTGTTTTGATTTTTGATAAATGGGCCTGCATTCTGAAAATAAAATTTAGTTTGAAATTAGCGCTCATCTCGCGTACTTCTGTTTCGATTGTGTCTTCGGCACTAGCTGCGCTAATATGCACCCATATTACCGGCCTTGAGGAAAATAGCGATGCTGATTGAGGTGGATAGCCTTGCGTGCCTCATCGGACACAAAAAGTGACCGTCGACGTTGTCAGTGCGGGTGATGCAGAAATCACTGTCACGTGTTGGCGTCACCGTGTGACATCGTCACGATGTCAGATTGCTATATAACTTGTGATGTCACGTAACGTGCCGTCACTTGATGACGC